CACACCCTTGTGCTCCGGTACCAATTTGCCCCCGGAGACAGGAGAGGAATTTGGGCCTCGGGGGTTGCCCTCCCCTCTGTCCTCCTGCCCAGCTCTGCCTCCTTGCTGGGCACTGTCCTAGCTGCTCCTAGTCCCTGACTCCCCACCTCTGGCAGAGAGACCCCAGGCCCTTCCTCAGTGTAACCCCAGCCTCTGAGTTCCCTGAGGCTCCTCTGGTCGGCAGACTAAGTCCCCACTGTCTGCCACCACAAGGAAGCCTCTGTCATTTACTGCCCAGGCAGACAGAAAGGCAGAGCAGGACTTCTGGTGCCTGGGGTGACCTTCCTGGGGCAACCTAGTCGTTACTCAGAGCCTACGACCTGTTAGCTGAACCCCAGAGAGGTTCATGAGTCCTGTCCAGACGTGGCTGGGGTGGGGGCAGAGGGCCCTACTGCCACTCCCGCGCTGTGTGACCCTGGGGAAGTGACACAGCCTCTCTGGGCCTGCGTCCTGATGGGTGGAGGACATGATGCGGGCGAGGGTGAAATCATTCAACTTCTGCAGTTGCTCGGGCCTGGAGAGTGGGTGCGGGTGTTCCTGTCACCTTTTAACCCCCAGCAGCCGGCCTGTACAGTGACCTTCCACTCAACCTCACAGTCTCTCCTCTGAGGATGAGAGGGAACAGTGTGAGCTGGCCTCGGGCGTCTACATGCCCTGTATGCATCCATGTACCTGCTGTTCCCTGGGTGCCCTGCTCCTGCAACCTGTGTGAGGCGCTGGCAGTGCACAGGCCGCGGTCCCTGCCCTTGTGCCTGGAGCCCCCAGTTAAGGCTGGCTCTGCCCCTCAGGACCTACACTGAAAGGTGTCCTCAGGCCCCTGGACTTCCAGCCCAGCAATGCTACCCAGGCTGAACAAAACCCCCTGGACCCTCACACCCGTGCTGGGTCTTGGAGCAAGAAGTAATGAAGAGGATGCCGTGCACTCGGTGCCCACCAGAGCCAGCACACAGACCTGCACGGTACAACTTGATGGTGCAAGGGTGACACAGGAGAAAGCTGGGTTTGGGGGCTGGAGTTGCTCAGAGGTTCCCCAGGGAAATGGCCAGTGGCCACAGGCCTTCTGGGGACTTCCAACCAGCCTGCCCATCTTTCGGCCCTGCCTGCTCCCCAAAGCGCCTCCCCTGAGCCCAGGGCCCCTGTAGAGCCCTCCACGTCCCGCTGCCCATCCCTGGAGCTGAGGAAGCCCAGCTCCGAGCACTTTTTGGCTTCTCCATCTCGGGCTGTTGGGTAGTTGGTAAACAGCTTATTAAGATAATAACATTGCAGTTAAAGCTGGAGCAACAGCAGCCAGGGTGCTGGCAGAAGGTCCCTCCGTCCCCTCTGGGCTGGGTTGACGCAACTCCACCGACTTGGCCAACCCAGGCCCTTACCCTGGTGCTAGGAGGATGGGCCTGGGAGGCTGGGATGCGGGGGTCCCCACTCAGCTACTCCCTGGTTCACTCACCTCATCCTGGGGGGTGGAGGAAAGTGATCTGTGGAGGGGTTGGGGCTGGGACTGGAACTCGGGAGGGTCTCATAGTCCCCTAGGACACCAGGTGGGTTAGAGGCCGGCTTCCCCTGGCAGGAAGAACAGGAGCTGTCCTCTCTCCAGAGAGATCAGGGGCTCCTTTTTCCAAGCCCAGGAGTCAGAGCGGTGGCAGGGGTGGGTGGAGGCACCCCCTAGATGTTGGACACTTTGAACCTGACTCTTAAATGAGCCCAGCACCCAAAGAGGAGTTTAGGGACCCTCTGGGTCTGTTCCTGTCCTCCCTTCAGCGCTGGCCTGGTGCATGGAGCCCCGGAGAGTGCAGGGGAACCTTACTCTGCGCGAACTCCCCAGGGAATGTCCCCTGCACCCTCGCACCTGCCTATGACATTCCTTTCGCCTTCGAAGGCATGACACAGATGCCACCCTTCTGGCCCCGGAGCTCCCAGCATATGGTCTGTGCCTTCCTTTCCCAGGCTTTGGCCATCCATGCCTGGCAGATAGCAAGTGCTCAATAAATACTGGCTGCTTTGGTCCAGGGCCTTCCTACTGAGCTGCATCCTTAGCCCTTTTCTTACTTTACATTTCAGGACAAGGTCTCGTTAAATTGGTAAGTTGTTAAGGCTGGGCTTGAACTTGGGATCCTCCTGCCTCAGCCTCACAGAGTGCTGGGATGACAGGCCTGTGCCACCAGAGCTGGGGAGGGGGCTAGTTACACTGCAGATGAGGAAGCTGACGTTTAGGAAGCCCGAAGCCACACAGTCAGCAGAGGGGCCGCGGCAGGATGCAAGCCCTGGTCTGCTGACTCTGGCTTGCCTCTTCCTGGTCACAGCGTGGAGCTTTGCTGAGGGCCTTCAGGGGAGGAAGCCCTGGCCTCCCCTCCAATTCTCATCCCCAAGGAAGAACCCAGAGAGGAGGGGTGTGGAGGTTTGGGGGCTCCAGCTCTCTGAGCTCTGCCCCAGACATCTTGAGAAATGAATGCAGAAAATCCCTCAGTACAGACCTGAGTTCAAATCCCAAACTGTCAAGTAGCTTTTGGTATGCAGAATTGGTAGGGATAAATTTCTCCCTTGTTTTCTTTTTTCTGGGGGTAATAGTTGTGGGTTTTGTTTTTTGGAGGATTGAACTCAGGCCCTTGTGTTTGCCAGGGAAGTGCTTGTTCCACTGAGCCATCTCCCCGGCCCCAAATTTTTTATTTTTATTTATTTATTTATTTTTGGCGGAGCCGGGTATTGAACTCGGGCCCTTGTGCTTGCCAGGGAAGCGCTTATTCCACTGAGCTCCCCAGCCCCTCTCCCTTGTTTTCTCTTTCCTCCCTCTGTTCCTTTCTTCCTTTTCCTTTCCTTTTTGTGTGAAGATCTATCCCAGGGCTGTGTGCACACTAAACACATACACTATGTCTGTAGCCTCAGTGTTCTCATCTGAAAAATGGGGCCCAAGCACTCACCTGCTAAGGTGTTCTGTAAGGATCACACCTGAAGTGCCTGGCAGAGGCAGATTAGCAAGTGCCAGCTGAGCTGTCCCTCAGACCTGGAGCACAGTGACCCTCAGGGCAGCCTGGGACTCCCTAGCCTGCCCCTTTCTTCTCTAAAGGTTGTCAGGACCTGGTGGGCATAGTCAAGGAGCCCCCATGCCAGCAGATGGGCTGAGTTGCTCCATCCTGGCATGCTGCCCAGCCCCCACCCAGGTCCTTGTCCCCTCAGCAGGCTGAAGAGGAGGAAGGGGAGGTCAGGGGTGGGGCTGACCCCCCAGAGGTCACCCAGGCAGTTAAGCCAGCCTGACAGAGCAGGGAGGAATTAGGGAGCTTACAACAGCTTTCATCCGCCTGCCCTCCCGCCCATCCTCCTCCTTCCTTCCTCTCTCCTTCTGCCCCTTTTCCCTTCTCCCTCCCTCTGCTGGCAGCCCAGCCCTAATAAAATGCAGTGTCTCCAGCGAGTCTGCCCGGCTGGCTGCCGCCTCCTGCTCCTGCTGCACGCAGCCCTCAAACCAAACTGCTCAGCTCAGCCCCGCCTGGCAGCTGCCACTTAACCCTTGCCAGCCCTCTGGCGTCTGTGGGCTGAGGCCTCCTCCCTTCCGCCTCCCTGGGTTGGGGCGGGGGAAGGGCTTGGGGGGCAGAAGAAGCAGAGTGGGATGGTGGGGAGGGGGTCCTGCCTGAAGACCCCAGCCTCCAAGGCCCTGGAATGTCCACCAAGCCCTCTCCGTGCTCCTGAGGTCCTTGCTTTCTCTCCTGCCTCTGCTTTGTGCCTCCCCAAATCTCCAGAGACCAGCAGGGTGGGGACTGTTATTCCCATTTGACAGATGAGCACACTGAGGGCCTGGCTGGGAGGCTCCGAGCTGAGTTGGGTCACTTCAGCTGCTGGGCGGTGCTGCTGATTCTCTAAACAAGATTTTCCATGCCAGGGAGCTCCCTTTGCCTCCGTGGGTGAGAGAGAATGTGTGTGTGTGTGTGTGTGTGTGTGTGTGTGTGTGTGTGTGTGATGCTCAAGGGACCTGAGTGCCTTTGTGTGCTTCTTTGTTGGGGCCCTGGCTGCGGCTTTGACTTTGTTCCATCCACGTGTTGCCACCGTGTCTCAGGTATATATCTACATCCTCAGAGGTCCCTGCAGATGACAGTCTGGCCTCAAGTGGGAGTGCATGAAAGTGTGAGGAGAGAGAGAGCGGTTACCCTGTGTCGGACAACAAGCTCCACAGTGTGTGCATGTGTCCTTGTGCCCCCACCTAGGCAAGGGCCGCCCTCTTCCCAGGAGGCCCAGTTGTCCCCCTGAGGGCTGACTTGGAGCTGAGGAGGGGTGTTGGAGTGTAAGGTCCTGAGTGAGGCCTGAGCCCTCCCTGAGCAGCTAACACAGACCCCACCCCACCCCCTCACCTCCTCTCCCAGCTGTGCCACCCCACAAGCTGTGGGAGCAGCGGGGTTTCCCCAGCCTGAGGCCCCACCCTCCCCCCAAGCTGGGAGGGACAGACGGAAGGCGAGGGGCTGGGAGCGCCTGGGTGTGGAGACAGGGGGTTTACACGCGTGTGCAAGCATGTCTGCGTGTGAGCTCAGGATCAAAGAGCAGCCCTGAGGTGACCTGGCAGCGGCGGCGGTGGCAAAGGGCAGCTGGCTGATAGGGGACGCCACGCTGCTGCCTCTGCCGCCTCAGAGAGAGCAAAGCAAGAGTCAGGTCAGCCACAGCTGGGAGCCTCCTGTCCAGCCCTGCCCAGCTTGGGGTGGCCACGGGCCAGGGACACCTGCCACCTGCGACCAGGCCCAGCCCAGGATCCCAGCAGTGAGGTCTCCCACAGGCCCTATCTCCCCCAGCCAGGAGCCCCTGGAGTCTCAGAGGTCCCCAAGTCCCAGGTGCCCCCCTAAGAGCTGCCTGCCACCAGCCTCCTGTTCAAAGAGCACAGAGGTTCTTTTCTTCTTTTTTATTAACATTATATATAAAGATGGGTCCAGTAAGAAAGCAGAATCGAGAAGGCTGGGAGGGGTGGGAGCTGGCTTCATTCCTGTACCTCTGGGGTGGGACTTGGAGACCCACCCCACCTCTCCGCACTCCTCTCCTCCCACGAAACCCAAATCCAGCCGGAGCCCACATCTCTCTCTTCTCAACACACAGGAGGACCCATCCAGAGAAAAAAGGTCACATAAATAGGAAACCACAGGAGGGAGGAGGCCGCTTCTCTCTGTTGCTCTTAAAAAAAAAAAAAAATACATACTCTCTCTCTATATGGCTACAGTCTTGCACCTCTCCTTCCATGTGTCAGCACACCAGGGGTGGAGACGCTTAGCTTTGGGGGGACGCCCGGGCCAGCCTCCTGGCTGCCAGCCCTCACCCCTAAGGCACTGGGTCACAGCCTTGCCCTTCCCACAGAGCACTACACTCACCCCAAATTCTCCAGCTCAGCTGAGTAATCTATCTCCAAGGACACCGGAAAGGGGGTGTCTGGGGACTTGTCTTGCCTGGCGCATCTCCGTGGAGACTGGGGGTTTGGCGGCAATCTGCCAACTTGTTGGAGGAGAGGAAGGGAGAGGAGGAGGGGGAAGAGGAAGAGGATGAGGAAGAGGAGCAGAGTGGGACAGAGTTCCCACTGAAGGGAAGGTTTGGTCCTATCTGGTAACAATGCCCTTTGTTTTCTTATTTTTTCAACAGCTTTTAAAACCAAGGTTGTGCAAAGTCCTGCACATGGAGGAAGAAATGGGGTCCTCAGGAGAAACATGAGAGATGCCCTCCCAGCAGAGGGCAAGGGGTGATGGCTCCCATAATCCTTCCCCGAAAGCCCCCACATAGTGAAAGATTCCCTGGCTAGGGGCGGTTTCTTTGGTTCAACCCTCGAATCCTGAACAAGGGCTACAAGTGCAGGCCAGGCGGCGGGCGGGGCCTCAGCCTGAGCCCCAGTGCTGATGTCCAATGTCTTTGGCAGGAGGGCCGTGCAGGCGGGAGAGGCCAGGCTGTTTAGGAGGAGCCTGGCGTGGCAGGGGTCAGCATCCATCAGGCCGGGCGCCCCAGCCTAGGCTCAGCTTACAAACACTCCGTGTCCACATCCCTGTCCCTGGTCTCCAGGCTGGGGAGTGGTTAGATTTGAGGTGCTCAAAGGTGATGAGCAAGTCCAGGCTCCCCTGGGGTGAATGTGCCCACATCCAGAGGGGCACCCCAGTTCTCAGCAGGGGGAGGGAGGTTTGGGGGACATTCTCAGCCCCTGCCAATTTCATCTGGAAGCTCTTGGGTCCCTGGAGAAGGGGCAGGGCAGGGAGGAAGCCGGCCTTCTCCGTGCTCCTCGGAGATTCCTGAGTGTTCCTAGGACGGAGGTACCTCTGCTTGGTCCTGGGTCCTTCGTTGGGAGTACAGGCCAGGGGGGCTCAGTACACAGCCCCAGGGTTGGGTGGGGGTCCTGGGGAGGCGTGATGCAGGGTGGAGGGCTGTGGTGGCTGCTGCTGTAAGTGGGGTCCACTCAGGTTCTGTGCGTGGTACCAGGAGTTGGTAGGGTCATCCAAGTAGCTGGGGGAGGCACTGTATGGGAGCGGCGGGGGCAGCTGGCTGCGGGCAGGGGCTGGCGTGGAGTGCGAGGAGGTGTCCCAGAGGGCTGGTGACGGTGGGGAGTTGCAGGCCATGGAGTCGCTGTTGTTGGGGCTGTGCTCCAGGGGGACCTCACCATTCTTGTACAGCTTCTTGAACTTGGACCGACGGTTCTGGAACCAGATTTTCACCTGGGTGGGAGAAGACAGGAGCAGTTGGTTAGCACTCAGGGTGGAGAGGAAAACCCTGCCGGGAATGCAGCGTGGACCAGGCCAGGCCAGCTCCTGACATCACTGAGCGAAAAGCACACGACACCCAGGCTTCCTGCCTCCCTGGCCAGCAACCCCTTCTACCCGGCTGGAACAGAGGCCAGGAACACTGGACTGCCTGGTCCAGGGTCTGCTCCCCCACTGTGTGGCTTAAACCCTCTGGTCTGACATTCCTCTCCCCTGCAAAATGGGGACAGTGACAGCACTGCTACCACTCAGGGTCATTATGAGGCTCAAGTAAGCTAGGACACCTGAAAAACTTAGGACAGGCCCAAAACAGCAAGCATGCAATCAACCCAGATAGGCTGGTATCTAGACCACCACATACCAATACACCACATGGAACATGGGCCGTTTGTGACATTTCATCCATGTTAGATGCCATAAACAGAAGGATGCAAATATGCAAGCACACCCCCACGCACACGTCTCCATGCCCAGCCACATACCCACTCAGGTTTACACACAGATGCCAGACACACACACACACACACAGATCCACCCAAGTAAACAACACGCGCATTCACACGCGTGCTCAGGAACCAGGTCCTCCAGGGCTCAGGCTTGGTAATGGAGGTGACCTGGGGACTCAGGAGCAGGTGAGCCATGGTTCCCCAAATTTCCCCTGGGGTATCTCCCCCTCCCCCTGCCGCTCCCCACCCGGTGACTGGCACAAACAATGAATCAGCTCCTTACCGGGTGACCCAGATTCCCGGCGGACAGGGCCCCACGCAGCCACAACCAAGGCCCGCCTGCCAACACCTGCAGCCAGCCAGGCATCCCTGCTCCTCCCCTGAGCAGACACAGGCTGCTGGGGGCTTCAGGGGCAGGCAGTGGGTGGCAGCGGGGCTCCCTGGCCTGACTCCCAGCAGAGGAAGGGCTGAGCACTTGGGTGCTGAGCAAGACTGGGGTGTCATGGCCCCAGTACAGTGTTTCTGTACTCTGGTGCTCACTGGGGTGCAGCCCCCATCTTGTACATGGTGACCCCTGAAGGGTCACACTCCTTATGCAAGCATCCTCATGTGTGCGCAGACCTTGGTGCACAATCCAATCCAATGCACATGCACACCTGTCTCCAAGCCGGGGTAACCCCTGCACATGCACACCTAGCCAGGGAATAAAAGGACCCCTTGGACTCCAGCCATTCCAGCCACACCGCTGGGGATCTTGGGACCTGGAGATTCTGGAACAGAGGGATGCAGGCTTCTCTCTCTGCCAGGCACCCACCATTGTGTGGGATCACAACTGCGCGTGCGCGCGTGCACACACACACACACACACACACACACACACACACACAGAGCAGGCATGCTAAAGCAGGACCTCTACAGAATCTGAGGCGTGAAGTCCTCTTTCCCTCAGGCAAGGGTTCCCAGAACCAGCGCAGGGCCCTTGGGCAACCAACCAGTCAGGCTCCGCTGAGCCTGGGGGACTCTCGGGGCCTCAGTGCTCCCTGTCTCCCTCCTCCCTCCAGGCCCTCGCGGGCTCAGTACCAACCTGTGTCTGAGTGAGGCCCAGCTGCGCAGCCAGCTCTGCGCGCTCAGGCAGCGCGAGGTACTGGGCTTTCTGGAAGCGGCGCTGCAGGGCAGCCAGCTGGTAGCTGGAGTAGATAGTGCGCGGCTTTCGGACCTTCTTGGGCTTCCCGTTCACCATGCGCACCTCGGCTTCCGGCTCTTCCTTCACTGACACTGCGGGACGCATGAGTGGGGGGCGGTTCAGCCTTGGTTTGCGACCCTGCGGCGCCCCGTCCCGCCCTCCGACTCGTCTTTGCCCGCGCTAAGGAGGGAGCCGCGGCGACGGAGCCGGACGGGTGGCCGCCCACGACGCGGCGCTCCCAGCTCCGGCCCGCAGCCTCCCTCCCGGGCCCGACGCGCTCTCCCAGTCGCGCCGTGCGGAGCGGGGGGCTGCTTCTCGGCTTGCCCTCTGCAGCCGTCCGAACTCTGCCTTTCCATTTTAGAATAGTTTTAGATTTTCAGGAAAGTCGTAGGAATACTTTCCTTCCTGCCCTCCTGCGTTTCTTTTCCTTCTTCTTTTTCCTTTCTTTCTCTCGTTTCTTTCCTTCTTGTCGCCTCCTCCTCCCCTCCCTCCTCCCCTCTCCTCTGTTCTCTTTATCTCTGTCTTTCCCCGTTCCCTTCTTGCCACTTTTCTCGCTTTCTCCATCCCCACTTTCTCCTGACTTCGCTGTCCTCCTGGCGGTCCCTCGCTCTTCCCTGGAGCACGGGTCTCCGCGGAGCGCCGGCGAGGGAGCCCCGCGATTCCGGGGCTCACGACAGGCCGGATCTTCGCCCAGCGGGGGCGCACGGCCCGACCGCGCCGGAGACGCTCGCAGCCTAGAGACTGGAAGGTCGCCTGTCCCCTCCGGGGCCATCCGACCACCCCCTCGGATCCCAGGCAGGACATTCTTGCCCTGGAGCCTTCCCCAGCCGCGGCTCGCAGTCCCGCCCGTCTCGGCGCCGGGACCCTGCCCGGCCCGCGCCCTCCCGGCGCCCGCCCTCACCTGGGTCCTGCGCGGGCAGCGGCTGCTCGCGGTAGGCGCCGTACTGCCGGTAGGAGCCCGCGTACGTGTATTCCGACTTGGGCGAGTAGGCGCCCGTGCCCGCGAGCCCGTTCAGGTTGAACTGGTGGTGGTAGGCGTAGGGGTTCACCGTCTGGGCGTAGGGCTGGCCGGAGTAGAAATCGTGCTGTGGAGCGCTGTAGTAGCCCAGGTCCGTGACCGAGGACTCGGGCAGGGTGGGCGAGTCCTTGGAGCCCGCATGGCAGCTCAGCGAGCTGGAGATGTCGGTCAGGATGCTGCTGAGCTTGCGGTCGAAGGAGCCGCTCATGCTGGCGGGCGCCGCACCCCCGGGCTGGCTCTGCGAGGACGGGGGCGCGGGGAGGGCGGCGGGGGGCGCGCGGGGAGGGCCGGCCGCGTCTGGGGAGGGGGTAGCCGAGGGCGCCTAGACCATCGCCGGCCGTCGGGCAGTCGCTTGCGTCCCAAGCCACAAATGCAGCCAGCTCCGCCCGGCCAGCCGGTTATAGACTCAATGTTGGAGCCGCGGAGGGAGGCTCCTGCGCGCTGATTGGCTGCGAGTCCTGCCTTCGAGGCAAAACACGCTCGGCGCCCTCGCTCCCCCCCATTCTTTGTTGTTACCCAAAACGCAGGCAGACACACACACACACACACACACACACACACACACACACACACACGCCTCATTTCTCCCACCGCTCCAGATAACCCCTGTGAAAGAGGGGTGGGGGCGATTACAGATCCCCCAGGATCTGTCTGTCTGTCAATCCCTCTGTCTCTGTCTTCTTGTCTGGGAGTGGAATTAGGGGAGATGGGAAAGAAGGAGAATTTTCCCACTGGGGGTTCGTGGCAAGAGGTGGCCCAAAGTGTTGGGGGGCGGGGGGCTCGCTATGCTAATAACAGGCAAAGTGGTAAGAACCAGCATTCATGGAACTACCTTAATCTCCCTTGAAATTAAGAGGAAAAAAATTTCTAGGTTAGAGGAAGTATTTAAGTATACTCACCTTTATCTTTACAGCAAAGCAGCCATAGAGTTTTTTAAAAATTGGGGACCCATCAGTCAAAAGCACTTTGGGTTTACAAAAATTCTAAATTAGCCCTGGGAGGATCCTACCGTGGAAAAAACTGTGGATTTAGGGGCTGAGGGAAGGGGTCGGGTGACAGAGCTATCATACAGCTCCAGGGATGGCTGTGGCCCAGTGGGGAGCCAGGGGCCTGTGGTCCTCAGGGGCTCATACAGGACACAGGCTGAGCCCAGCTTCAGGAGTCTGAGGGAGGATTCAGTGCAGAATGGAACAGCCTCGGGTGCGGGGCGCCTCGGTGTGCGATGTGCCGATTTCACGCGTCCACAGCACACAGAAGAGAGACAGGAGTGCGCGTGTGTGAGAACGCGTGGCAGTGTGCATGGCAGAGTGCGTGGCAGGCTCAGGCAGTGGGGGCAGGGCTGTGGGACCTCCGTTCCGTGTGATGTGCAGGTGTGAAGGGACCTCGCATTTCCTTCCCAGGCCCCAACAGCTAGGAACCGCGATGCTCCATCATGAAAGTCCTGATGAGGAAAAGACTCCCCTTCCTGGGAACCCCCAATTCCTTGTCGTGCTGGCCCACAAAACCCAGCTCCCAGGTCATCCCGGCTGTTCCTGATGCCTGGCTTATCTCTCCCTGCCACCGCACTTCCACTCCCTGCCTTGAATTTGAGGGGGAGCATCTTCCAGCCTCACTTCCTAGCCCCCCATTTTCCTGTCCTACGGCCCTGTCTGGCCAGGCCAAGCCCCAGGACGCGCAGTGCCGGCGCGCCACCTCGTGGTTGTTCTGGGGCTCTACAGCTCCCAAGTCCCGCTCGCCGAGGGTCTCCGGGGAGGGGGGTCTCCTGAGAAGACCCGGCCAGCCCGAGAAACGTATAAAGGGCTCCGTGTCCATGCCCAAAGCCAGAGCCTACAGCACAGAGTGGCAGCTGGCCGGGACAGGGTCGTCGATTGAGCCCGGGGACAGGAGCGGGTGCGCGCGCCGGGGTGGCCGCCGCGTGGGAAAGGTGGGGGCGGGGGCGCAAGGCCGCGCTATCTGCCTGTCTATCTGCGCGTCCCCCCAGCGCCTATCGCCCGCCGCCCCGAGCCCGTGGCGGGGCGAGTTGCCACCCGCTCCGGATGCCCTCTGTTCTGCTGCCAAGAGGGCTCCCAGAGAGCCCGCGGCCCGGGGCAGGGAGGGCAGGGGGCGGGCGCCGCCCCTGGGTGGCAGGGGAAGGCGGGCAGGGCCGGGTCTGGACCCCAGCGCCTCACGGGACAGGGACGGCCCCGGCAAGCCCCTTCCCCGGCCCATTCATTCCTCATCTGCGCCGAGGCTCTCCTCCCCCTCGACAGCGGCGGCTCCTGGGTAAAGCGGCCGAGTTGCAAACCTGCCAGATTCCGAGAGGGTGGTAGTGTGGGGTAATGCTAGGGTGATTGCTAAGCTCCATTCTTCTGCGCTCTGGAAATTCTGAATTCTAGAAGTGGGCTAAAAACTGCAGCATCAGGAGCTTCAACGAGCAATTAAACCACCGTGTGGTCATGTGGGTTCGCATCTCGTTCCCCATGGCGTGGCGTGCCCGACTGCCTGTCTCATTCATCGCTACCTTCCAGGCACCTAGGACGATGAGGCTAAGGGGGTATTTGTTGAGTGACTAAAAGAGATTCCCTAATCAGAACTCCGGGCTGAGGTTGAGGCGGCGTGGTGGGAGACAGGGGACAGTCCTGTGCACAGCCGTATCAAGTGGCCGCAGACACCGCGCTCTAGAAAGCCGGCTTGACTGAGCGCAGGAACACGGTGGAGGACCGAGGACAGCATTGCCTGGGCGGCGGGCGCCATCTAGTGGTCACCATGGGAGGTGGCGAGATCCGAGGCCTGGCCTCTACCTGCCAGGTAGGGGTCCTTGTTCCCTGAGCTACTCAATAGAGCCCTGCCTCAGAACAACCCAAAAGATAAAAAATAAAAATAAATTCTAGGACCACTGAATCCCAAAGGGGACCGTCCCCTCGCCTTTGCTCCCAATCCCTTGGAGCTGTGCCCCAACCCAACACTGCAGCCTGGTGGTCCTTGGGCGTTCGCCACCCAGGAGGCCGCAGATCTTTATGCTGTGGCAGCCCACGCTAGGTGCCTGGGATGTGAGGTCACGACTCGCACCCTGTCCTCTCCGCGGAGCTCAAGTTCTCACCTGGAGTGCACACATGGGCGACCAGGTGCCATGACCACCCAAGGGGGCCTGTGTCCCATGCAGAGGCAGGAGGATGTCTGAAGGCCAGGCGGGATTCAACCCGGAGCTGCACAGATGGGCGGAAGGAGGAGTCAGGGCCATGACCAAGGCCTTTGCAAAGGTGCGTGGAACTTCCCGGGGTGCAGCAGGCGGGGTCCGGGACCCTGGACAGAGGGTGCAGAACTCAGCAGAAGACTGGGCTTTATTCGGAGACGGGGGAGCCGCAGAAAGGTGTCAATCACGGAAAGCCACGTTTACATTTTCTTTTTCTTTTTTTCTGAAGGCCTGAGTTCAAACCGGGGATTGAACTCAGGCCCTTGCACTTGCCAGGAAAGATCTTATTCTACTGAGCCATCTCCCCGGCTCCCTTTCTTTCTTTCCTTCCTATCCTTCCTTCCTTCCTTCCTTCCTTCCTTCCTTCCTTCCTTCCTTCCTTCCTTCCCTCCTTCCTTCCTTTCTTCCCTTCGTTTTTCAGTACAGGGTCTACAAGGTATTCAGGGTCTCACTACACAGATCAGACTCGTAGTGATCCTCCTGTGTTCAGCCTCCCAAGCACTGGGCTTACAGGCACAGGCCACCATGCCCAGTTTGAATGGCGGTCTCAGCGCGCCCCGGGGGCAGGGGTGGCCCTGCCCTGGGGATGAACCTCCTGCCCTGCATCTGCCTAAGCAGGCACTTTAATCCCCTGAGCTATCTGGCTAGCCCTCATGTTTGGGTTTCCTTCTTTTTAACATTTATTTAACTGGTAGATTTTTTTTTTATTACTGCTTCATTTTCATTGCTTGTTATTAGATTTTTTTTAAAGAAGAATACAAAATGCTAAAAAAAAAAGAAAAAAATTAGAAATGATACAGGACTTTACTAAGAATAATAATAGGAATTCAACAATAGTTGCTGTTACATAATGTTATCTTCAAATTAATTGTTTAGATTACCAGATATAAACATGCAAAGAGCAAGAGATATAGCTCAGTGGCATAAATGCCTTCCTGGCAAGCACAAGGTCCTGAGTTCAATCCCTGGTCCAAAAATTAAAAAAAATAAAAAACATGCAAAGTTTTTTTTTTTTTTTAAAGTATAAGAAATCAAAAAGAAGAAAAACTTGGGCTGGCGAGATGGCTCAGTGGTCTAAAGCACCTACTTAGAACAAGTTTAGCAAAGCTAAGGGACCACGGTTCAATCCCCAGCACCACATGCCAGCCAGCCCCGCCCCCTGGTGGGCTGAGCTGGCCACACACACACACACACACACACACACACAAATAAATAAATAAAAAATAAAAATTAAAAAAAAAAAAGAAGAAGAAAAACTTAAGCATTAACTGCTCCTTTCAATAGACCAGCAGAAGCCAGCTCTCCAGTTATCCAAGCTACCCTACATATATAGTAAATATGTCCTTTGTCCTTTCTTCCATCCTTTCCTCATCCCAGCCTTTCCTTCGCTGAACAGGCTCCTTCCCGTTCCCAGTGTCTAGTGTACTATTCAGATTTTATTTACTCTTCCAGGTTCTCACACTTGTGACACAGCATGGTGTTTGCACATGTGGGGCTGATGCTCTTCACTTACCAGTGTGGTCTCTAGTTTCATCCATTTACATAGGAAAGCCTCAAGTTTATATTTTTTATAGCTGAGTAATACTCCATTGTGTAAAAAATACCACATCTTTTTTTTAATCCATTCTTTTGGTTTTTTCGTATTTAGTACAGCGTCTAAAGGGTCTCACTACACAAATCAGACTCATAGTGAGCCTCCTGTTTTCAGCTTCCCAAGCCCTGGGATTATAGGCTCACATCACCATGCCCAGTCTCAATTGCTGTCTCAGTGTGCCCCGGGGGCGGAGCTGGCACTGCAGGCTGGGGTGGAACCCCCGGTCCCTGCGTCTGTCTAGACAGGTGCTTCCCTCCGTATTTATCCATTCCTCAGTTGATGGGCAGTTGGGTTGCTTCCAGGATTTAGCTATGTGCTGCTATAAACATTGGCACACATATGTCACTGTGGTATGTTTTCAGATCATGTGGAAAAATACCTGCGAGGGGAATAGCTAGCTTGAGCAGGACCTCCCATCTTAGCCTTTTGTGAATCTCTTTGG